GCACTTTATCTAAATTTGATATTAATTTAAATCATAAATGTGAAATTTGCATTGAGGCAAAATTAACTAAAACTCATTTTTATTTAATTGAATGAAGTACGGAGCCACTTGAATTAATTCATAGTGACATTTGTGATTTTAAATCAATTCAAACCAGAGGTGGGAAAAAATATTTTATCACTTTCATAGATGACTATACTAGATATAGTTATGTTTATTTAATTCGAACCAATGATGAAACTTTGAAAACTTATATTCAATATAAGAATGAAGTTGAAAATCAACTTGGTAAAAGAATTAAAAAACTTAGAAGTGATAGAGGTGGTGGATATGAATCAGGTCAGTTTTGTAAAGAACATGGAATAATTCATCAAACCATCGCTCCTTACTCACCTCAGCGAAATGGAATTGCAGAAAGGAAAAATAAGACATTAAAAGAAATAATGAATGCCATGTTCATAAGTTCTGGATTATCTCAGAACTTGTTGGGGGAAGCAATATTTTCTACTAATTATATACTTAATAAAGCAACCCGAAAGAAAATGAATCAAACACCTTATAAAATGTGGCATGGGAGAGTACCATCCTACAAATACTTAAAAATGTGGGGGTGTTTGGCTAAAGTGGTTAATCCTAGTCCTAAAAAGACTAAGATAGGTCCTAAAACCGTTGATTGCATTTTCATTAGTTATGTCAAGAATAGTAGTGCATATCAGTTTTTGATTCATAAATTAAAATATTCTGAAATGCATGTAAATACTATTATTAAATCTCGGAATACATCATTATTTGAATATGTATTTTCGAATAAAACTGGACAAGAGACTAGTACCAATAAAAGATCTTATGATGCTATTACTAGTCATGATCTAGAACAATATCAAGAACAAGAGCAAGAGATAGATCAAAATGAGGAAGATGAACCTAGGCGTAGTAAATGTACTAGAACCTCAAAATCTTTTGGTCTAGATTTTCTAACATTTTGTTAGAAAATGAGCCTTTAACTTTTAAAGAAGCTATGTCCAGTCCTGAGGCTCCTTTCTGGAAAGAATCTGTAAATAGTGAAGTTGAATCCATCTTGCAAAATCACATTTGGGAATTGGTGGATTTGCCACCAGGTTGTAAACCCCTTAGGTACAAGTGGATTTTCAAAAGAAAAATGAAAATAGATGGATTAATTGGCAAATACAAGACAAGGCAAGACTTGTGGTCAAAGGATATAGACAAAAAGAAAGTCTTGACTACTTTGATACATACTCACCAGTTACTAGAATAACATCCATTAGAATGCTAATTGCCATTGCATCCTTGTGCAATCTAGAAATTCATCAAATGGATGTGAAAACCGCTTTCTTAAATTGTGAGTTAGATGAAGAAATTTACATGGAGCAACCAGAAGGATTTTCTATTCCAAGGAAAGAAAAGAAAGTGTGTAAATTGGTTAAATCATTATATGGTTTAAAACAAGTGCCAAAACAATGGCACGAAAAATTTGACAAGGCAATGATGTCAAATGGATTTAAACTTAATTAATGTGACAAATGTGTTTATATTAAAAAAACAAATAAAGATTATGTAATAGTATGTCTTTATGTTGATGATATACTCATATAGGTAATAATATTGGCATAATTAAAACTACTAAGAAAATATTGAATAAACATTTTGACATGAAAAACATGGGGATTGCTGATGTAATACTTGGTATGAAAATTACCAAAACATCAGAAGGCTATGCTTTGTCACAATCACATTACATTGAGAAAACACTTGACAAATTTAGCAAAGATGATGATCCAATTTCTAAAAATTCTTGCAGGAAAATTTTTAAATTTCTGAACAAAATTAATTTAATGTTGATGATGATCCAAACTGTGCCTCTTCTGGTCCAATTTCCAACTGTTTAAACTGCTTTAAACTGCCCAACAGTTCCAAATAGAGTTAGTTTCTTCCAAACAGGTTTGAAACTGCCCTAACAGTTATATGTTCAAACAGATTTGAAACTGCCCAGTAGTTATCTGTCCAAAACTGTTTGCACCTGTTGAATTCAAAAACCTACATGTTCGGTTTGAATTTCAGACCTGTTCGGGCCTATAAATACCTGGACCATTCCAGTAGATTTCTAGATCCGAAATTCACTTGTTTCCTTCCAGTTTTTGCTCTTTTGCATCAATTTATTCTTCATATTATTTTAGGGAAAATTTGAAGAGTATAGAACATATGTTTTTGTTCGCCGTACAAATTGTTGGAGTGCTACTACAATTTGTGTAGGTTATTGTATCATGGGAGATAGACGCCATTTATCCGTAAGCACCGAAGTGGGACGAATCTGTCTTAAGGACAGAGTGTCACACACTCAACTTGATCATTAATGTACTTATTCACATCGTTAAATAAATTCTGTAAGTAATTTATTTTTATTTGTTTGATTTAGTTTCAAATTATTTTTTACACAGAAGATTGTTCCAACAATAATATGTTCCTTTTGTGGTACACAGTCTATCTTGATAACCATCTTTTGCAGCATCCTTTAATTCTTCAGCAAAAATTACACAAATGAGAAGTAGAAGTCACAACAATTCCATTTTAAACCAGCAAGCTTAACTATCTTCAAACGTATCATCAAACACTTAAAAACCTTTTGATGTAATGTCCAGTAATGCTCCCCGTTAAATTGAAAGGTTGGGTGAGATCGTTATTGCAAATGAAGAATCATTAAACTGAAATCCATGCATGAGTTTAACAACACGACTTTAGAAAAGAATTTGACTTCTTACGGTCACTGAAATGATTCAAAATTCTACATCATATGTCATTTAGAGAATATTTTGAAGGTGTAAACATGATGGGCAAATAAAATTTATTTACTTGCAAACAAAAGAAGAAATTTTCAATAGAATCACTTACAATCTTGAGGAATGACTCATAAATACTAAAAGCACCAGAATTGATTGGCATAACTAGATAAAATACAAAAAGATAGATTCGTAACCAATTTTCGATGGAGTCTTTCCATATCTTAAAGAAAATAATCAAGGAAACTATTATGAAAAGGCATACCTCATTATTCGTAGATGAGGGCATGGCTATGACTAATGTCTCTAGACGAGAAGAACTTTCCAAGATGTTTGCTATTCCAAGGAGGACTAATTCTTCAATATGCGTATCTAGTGTTAAACATTCACACTTGGACAGTGGAGAACACAAACCTTTCATTTCCATTATTGATAGTAGCTTTCCCCCATTAGAAGTAAGATGCAAAACAAATATATACATAAATACATATAAAGCAAGACAAAACCAATTAGAAGATTCTAAAAGATTGTTTGACATACTTACAATAATATATTTTGTATATTAAAAAACAAACTAACTATGTGCAATTTCTGAATCATATTTAATTTTCAAACCATGTCACTCCTTACATTGGAGCAAAAGTAACCACAAAGGATCAGATCATGAAAACATAATACTAAAGTAACCCAAACACAGTACTGTTAATTGTAATTGAGACTTTTTCTAATAAATATCATTTAGCACAAAAAGAAGCACAAAATATGGACAAAGCCATCGCTCGTTTTTTTTTCCTTCTACAACTCAGATGACTCAAACTCAATATCTGCACCAGCAATATTAGTTGGTTATATCATGTTATGAATTGCAATGTACTTCATCAATTAAATCGGGTTTTGAATCAACTACTTAGCTATGGGTGCTAACTGTCCCAAAAGCCAACAGCTTATACTATTGCTAACTATTACTATACCCTTCTAATTTAAGAAATATGCACAACCATTAAAGAATTGATTGGCAAAGTTACAAACAAGAACAATTCTTCATTATTCAAGAATTTAAATCCTGAAATACCTAACAAATGATTCTAGAGGCCAAAATGGTGTAAATTTCAATGAAGAATTGCATAAAGCCAACGAAGAGTTAGAACCAGTGTTATTGGCAAGCTTAAACATAAATTATCTAAAAAGGAAACGATAGACAGACTTGGTTTATCTAAAAGCCAATTTGGAGAGAACATGTGATTGTGTGAGCAAGCCCAAGGTTTAATATAAAATTACATACCAAATGAATTATCTCTAGCATACTTAGAGAGAACGCTGAAAGGAGATTTCCCTTGCTATTTATTTTCCGCTGCCAAGTCAGAGATGCAGGTTTTGTAGGGTTAACCTTAATCTAGAAAACAAAAAGTATAGAAATAAGATGAGCACTAAATCAAAGCACCGACTAAGAAAGTACCTCGGAAATCTCAGTGCTAATTGCATCTGTTAACCAATGGTATAATTTTTTTTAAAAAAAAATGCGTGTACTATATACACTCTATAATCTAACAAAATCACAACATTTGGTACTACTAGTTAAACCCCACGTGCTACGCGCGAGGGGGCCGCATCGTAGTTACAATGCTTTTTCTCCTGCCAATGTGCCTATATGCTTGCTTGTTTAAGTTTAAAAAAATGAAGTACAAGAAATGGAAAAAAGGGCCAATAACATAATAATTTAGCCAAATGATTCATGCATTATGTTAAAGAAACTTTACTTTTTCCTTCTAGTATTTTTAGAGTTATGTGTGGCTCAAGCATCTCTTCCTAGTGTCATGTGTGATAATTTGACAAAAATATAATAAGAAAAGGAAAACATTAGGATGACAAATGCTTTGATTCACATAGAAGGTGCCACAAGAATGAAAGTTGAATAGAATATGGGTCAAGGTAGCAAGGTAAGAACCACAATAATAAGTAAAAAAAAAAAAAAAAAATTTGATCGTAATTGATATAAAATAATATCTGATAAAGAATCTTCAATGCCTTGTCCTTGAGTGGTATATGAGGACCACGAACAATATCATCAAAATTTTTGACTTGTCATCCTCAAATGAATCCTAAATACAAAATGAACAAAAGACTCTCAAATATCAAAATCAATAAGGGAGGGGGGGTGGGGAACAAGAAAATCATATCAGCAATAATGCAAATTACCTGCAAAAGTGAAGAAAGAGATAAACTTCATTGAAAAGCTAAGCAGAGTACATACTACTATATATATACACTTTGTATAACTGAGTTGGTTATAACCAACTCTCTAACAAACTATCTAGCCATCTTGGTGTTTTCTATCTTTACAATTCTGTGACTTATTATACATGACAGTCGTATACATGAGATGAGCAGCTTTGGATGCCTTGACTTGCTCTGTTTGAACATATTGCAACTGCATCAGAGTAGGCTGCTGCTATTGTTGTTGCATAGGCTACTGCTGTTGCTACTGTATAGATTGTTGTTGTTGCTGCTGCACAGGCTATTGCTGTATAGGCTGCTGAGATTGCTTTTGTTGAAGCTGTTTTTGTTGAAGTTGCTCTGATGCCCTAGGCTCAGACTCAGTTGCCCTAGGCTTAGACTCTGCTGCTTTGGGAACATTGGGAACATATATCTTATCAACTTCAAACAAACACAATCCAAATTCAAGCAAAGTATGTCCATAAAACCGGGCACTCTCACAAACACCCCCAACTTAGATTTTCAAATTCATCATGTCTATCAATAGTACTATCCTTAAATATATATACGAGCATCTAAAACCTAACAAAAAAATCATTATAATTTCAAGAAAAATAGTAGTTTTTACCTTGGAAGCACTTCCCTTAAACCACCTAATACTTAGTCCTCCACTCCTTGTATATCTCCAAGACAGTGGCTTGAACATATGTTCCAACTCCTACATTTTCTTCATCTCCTTCACCCAATATATCCTTCAGAGATCTATACACAATCCCCTGTTGCTTTGCACACCCAAACATGGTGTGACTCTTGCTTGACCTAGTTGGGACATACATTATCGCTGTGCATTTAGTCCCCAATTTCACACCATTAATGAAAATATATAATCCCCTTTGGTTTTCCGAGGAAGATGGTGTACAAGAAGAGGAAATTGGAATCTCAGAACTGTCATAAAGTCTTTTTTTTTTCTCCCCTTATTGTTTGTTTCCTCTCTCTTATAAACAGTCTTTGTTTTTTAAACCCAAAATTTAAAATTTAAAAAAAAAAAGGAAAAAAAAAACTTGGGTACTATTTTTTGTAGTTGATATATAACATTTTCTCAAAGATTAGTCTTTCAAACTTATTTTGATGCATTCTATTGTTTAACATGAGTACGATTTTGGGCCTCATTCAACTTTTACTATCAAAATTTTTGGAAAACCCAAAATATCACAAACAACATCATTTATATTTATCCAATTACTCCTCTCTTCTTCTTTTTTTAACCTATGAACCTAGAAAATTAGAAATAAATAGAGAATGGACAATAGGAATGGGTTTTATTTTATCATCTAAAATTGCACCTAAAAACAGCTCATGAACAGGTAATTAAAAAAACAATTAAATTCAATCTAGGCACTACCAAAGCTCATAAATAGATGTCAAACGCATGAGCATTGTCCAGTTTCATTTGAATATTTCGTCAAACACATGGTGAGCAAAAGGGCCAGAAGACAACAACAAATACAAGCATGGACGAATTTTGTTTGAACATTTTTTTCAAGCACAAGGTGAGCAAGAGGGTGAAAAACAACAACAATTACAAACATAGACCAAACAACAGTAATTCATACACTATCATCATCATCATCAACAACAACAACAACCACAACAACAACAAAAACCTAATAAATTACATGCTCTTTCAATCATTTTGTAGAAACCCATTTCAATCATTCGTTCATTGATTTCACATAAATCAAAACCCTACACCATAAAAAAAAACAAAAAAAACCCTAGAGGTAGAATGCAATGGGGAAATAGAGAAAGAGAGATAGAAAAGCAGAGCCGAGAGAGAGAGAGAGAGAGAGAGAGATAGAGAGAAAGTAAGAGAAATAGAGAGAGGGAAAGGGAAACCTCAATCTTGAAACGATGTAATGCGAGGCAAGGCGAGGAGCTGCGAGGCAAGCAACGGCAGTGGTGGTGATAGTGTGCAATGGTGGAAGATTGACGGTGGAAGATCAACGGTTAGTGATGGGGGGGTAAAGTGATGGTGAGTCGTCCGTAAAAGAGAGAGAGAGAGAGAGAGAGAGCAAGAATCAAGAGTCTGGTTTTTGTTTGGGTGGATTGATAAAGGGTAAATTACATTTACCTCCCCAGAGGTTTCTGGCAAATACATGGACTTCTTTTGTGGTTTCAATAATTACAGAAATTTCTCCTACTTTAACTGACAATATCAAGATTCCCTCAATCCGTCAATTTTGCACAAACGACGTTACTTACCTATACAGAATGACCATATTACCCTTTAAATTAAGTGTGAAAAGACGAAAATACTCTACAAAATATTCCTTTTTTACTTTTTGAAACCAGAGTCACCACCCATTAACTTCTGTTTCTTTCTTCTCTTACTCTCTTCTCTCTCTCCTTTTCTCCCAACCCAACCCAACCCAACCCAACCCAACAATACCTATTTTCTTGGTATCCGACTCCGATTCCAACAAGGAGACCATTGACGACGAGATCTTCCTTTTCTATTTTCCTAACAATGAAATCAAACCCTACTCTCTCTCTCTCTCTTTCTCTCTCTCTCTCCTTCCCTTCCAACCCAACCCAACCCAACCCAACCCAACAGTGCCTCTTTTCTTGGTTTCCTACTCCGACTCTGACAAGAAGACCATCGACGACAAGATCAAACCTCTTTTCTTCTTTCGCGACGACGACCAACGACCACCACACCCAACCTAACCCACCATTTTCAAACAAACTCTACAACCGGACTACGATCGACATTTGTTTTTCTTTTTCTGCAATCGAACAACCATTGTAGAGTATGGTTCTAAATCGCACATATCCAAATCAAACCCATAAGGTGATGGTGGGTCCTGCATCAGTAACAGAGAGTTTAGTAAAAGTTCAAGGGTATGGACCAAGGCCGTGCTTGACTCCACACTTGAATTCACCAACATAACTGTTTCCATGGGAGCAACTCGGTATTCCAACACCATGGCTCTGCCCATTACACCACTCCCCTGTATAAGCATCCCCTGTATAAAACCTATAAACTCCATAACCATGCCGGAGACCTTGCCGATACTGTCCTCGAAACTGATTACCTCTCGCCCAGCTCTCAATCCCATACCCATCATATCTCCCATCAACCCAATCTCCCCCATACCTCTCATTCACAAAGTAATTGTACACTTCACTCTCATTACACCTCCCCTTGTGAAACTCTCCTTCATAGAAATCACCATTGCTGTAAAATTCAACCCCTTCTCTTACAATTCACTTCAATTTTCAGTCTTTTTTCGATAAAATTGACTCGCCGATGAACCATTGGACCGGTTTGTGGTTGTTCTGCGAGAACCCAAGTCGCTTGGAGAGAATCAAAAAGCTTTGGTGAATCAAACCCTTGTTTTTGCCAGCGAAGAAGAGAACGATGACGATGAAAATTAGGGCTAAGAGGAGGTTTTCCGAGGTGGGTATGTCGTCTCTGCCAAAATAGAGGAAGATGGTGCAGAGAAAGAGGGAGAGGAGGACGAGAATCGGGGTGAACCGGCGAGAACGACAACGAATTGGGGATGAATTGGGTTTATGGGGCTTTTGAACTGGGTTTGTGGGGCTTTTGTTCCTCTATGTCTTCTTCGTCTGGTTTGATCTCATTTACGGAAGATAGGGTTTGGATTGGGTTTTGTGGAAAATTCTTTAATTGGCATTTTAGTGCATTATGGGTATTTTAGTGCTTACATTAGATGACATTAGCAAGGTCTGTTAGGTATATAAACGGCTGTCAAATTTTGGGAGAATCTTGATAGGTAAAGTAGGGGAAGTTTCTGTAATTATTCAAACCATAGGGGAGATAAATGTAATTTACCCATTGATAAAAACAAATATGAAAAAGTAATAGAATAAATGAATTGCCTCCAATCTGAAAAATTTTCACACCAAAAAATTTGTTATCAATGCCGACTAAACAAAAGTTTAGTCGCCAATTGTAGCATTTTTGGCGACTAAAGGTATTTTGGTCACTATAAATAAATATTCACCGACTAAATTTTGCGTCGCCAAAGATAAAAGTAAAATATATGCTTTTTATTTAGTGACTAAATTATTTTAGTAGGCAAAAATTACTTTATAGCGACTAAAAAATTTTTTAGTCACCGAAAATGAACATTTGCCAACCAAAACTTTGATCGCCAAAGTTTAATAGCAAACATTATGCTAACTTTTTGGCGACTGAATTTATTCTAGTAGCCAAAAACTGGTATACTATGACTGACAAAAAATTTAATAGCCTAAAACATGATCTAATGCTGACTAAAATATTTTTTAGTCGCCTATTGTAGCAAATTTAGCGACTAATTTTTTTTTAGTCGCCAATAATTAAGATACAACTACTAAAAAAAAATTAGTAGCTAAAAACCATGTTCAATGCCGACCAATGTAATTTTTAGCTACCTAATCTACAACTTTTGGAGACTAAAAAAAGTTCAGTCGCCAAATTTGGTCGCCAAAAGTGTAAATTGTTGTAGTGAATATTTGGTGATATTGATTTTGTGTAATCATGTTCAAATATAAGATTAATATTAAGTGAAATAAGTGAATAAAACTGTGCCACGTGTGCATTAAATTTTTTTGTTTTGTCAAACAAGTTAATAGAGATCGACAAATTGTTAATATTGATACAAAATAAGAAGTTCAGGATTTAAATTGATGCAATTGAAACCTTAGGGTTTAATTTAAAAAATATGTGAAACTCTAGGTTCAATTTGTAATTTGCCCTTGATATTTATTAGTTAATCTTTATTTTAATTAATTGTTAGTTTAGTTAATATATATTATTTTTACTTGTATTAAGGTCTCGTTTGGTAAATATATGTTTTAGTCAAAAAGTCACTATAAATTGTCACATCACTCTCTTTATTTTTCTGCACATCTGTTGGCTACATATTTTGTATAAGCCAATCACAGCTGAACTCGTGGCTCATAAAGGGTAATTTGGGAAGTTAATGCAAGTCTCCAATCAGCATCAGACACGTGACAGTTCATATTGGTAGTAATGAATCTACGCAGCATTTGAGCAGTTAGAAGGCGCAAGATGACGTGGCCTAACGATTACTCACAATTCAAATTCAAATTCAAATTCAGGAGGAAAGCCTAACTACAAGAATGGCATAGTGGAGGCTAATTGTGCGAGACCATGATCAATGGTCGTGGAAGGGCACTTCGACGGTTAGAAGCCCGCTTCGACGGTTACTATCAGAAAGTATAAATAAAAGAGAAGGCCAATAGAAGGGGATGGACGAGATCTAGAAACAAGTTATTTACTTCATATTTTTCTTTATAGTTTTTACATTTCCAGTTCTTCAATTCCTGTACTGCACTTCATTTCTTAGGAGTAGTTACAAGTAGTTTGTTACTGTGAACCTCTTCGAGGCTGGGTTAATTCATTGTAAGTTCTCATTTACTTAATGAAATTCAGTTTTTGAATCGATTTGTACATATTACTATTTATAAGTTTCTCCTAAGCAAAGCCATCAGTAAAAAGTCATCTTCATTGAGGCTGAAAGAACTTCAACACAATCGTCTAATAATTGGTTGGCAATTAAACTTTCTGTAAGGACTTATTGATCCTTGTTGGCACACTTAAAATTACATAATTAACCTTCAAAAGCCAAAAAAATCAACATATATTTTTGGCACGCCCAGTGGGACACTTTAAAATGTCTAGACGTAACAAACAAGGAGAAAATAAACGTCTGGAAGGAGGTGTTGAAGGAGAGATAAAAGTTTCTAACCTAGAGGATAATATAATATCACACCTATGGATACACCTGTCTCATCAGATCCTCCATAAATAGTCGAACAGACTAGCACCTTAGAATATGCAACACATGTCCAAAACATTAGACAGGGCCATGAAACTGGACCATCAACTACCTCTTCTACCCAACCAATGAATCCATGAGGAGGTTTAGTAGATGCTATAGGGCAGCAACTAATGTATACAATAGACAGATAGGCAACATCCTTCATGGATCGAATGAACTCTCATTAACCAACTGTCATAAGGCAAGTTGTGGAAAACATAAATGTTCTTCAGCAAAGATTGGCTCGAGATAAACAGCCTATGCAAAATAATGGACAAACTAATGGGCAGACTAGTAGTCAAAATCATGAGAGGCCATCACCTGTGCCTCAGTCATGGTATGAAGCTCCTTCGAGACCAGTGGAAAATCAAAATGTACCATTATCCACCAATGAAACCATACAAATTGGTGGATCCGGGCCAGCACAAGGAAATGGCATGAGGATGTTTTCAAATCCTATGTTTGAAACCATACCTGGCACATGGGGGTTCACTAATCCTGTGTTTGAATTTGCACCCAGGGGGTTGGAAGGGTTTCCTACAGTTGGAAGAGAGACAACACATGTTCCTCCTCTTGTAGCACCTTTTGCAAGACCTTTCGCAGGGCAGGCCCCAAGAGGCTAGCCATACCCTCAACAACAACCGGTACAACAGGGACAACCAGTCCTAAATGCCCCTCTGTATGGACCAAGAGGCCTTCAGGCACATGGAGTTTGTCCAAACCCTATGTTTTTTCCTCTAGTTATGGTCCAACCAACACAAAATATGATTCCTAGGGACTAAATTGCTGATATTGTTAGAAAGATGTGTAAACCCATGGCTTGGGGGGTCCAGACTCTTGTGTACAAAAAACCTTACCCAGAATGGGTGGATAAGGTACATGAATACCCAAGGGGGTTTAGAATACCAAAATTTTTCCTTTTTTATGGAAATGGAAACTAATCAACGGTGGAACACATTGCCAGGTTTACAGGCCAGTATGGTGAATTCACCAATAATGATTGCATGAAACTAAGACTTTTTCCAAACTCTTTAACTGGGGCAGCCTTTGTATGGTATATAAACCTTACACCTGGCTCTATCCAAACTTGACAGCAAATGGAGGAAGTGTTTCATGCCCAGTTTTTCCAAACGGAACCTGTGGTTTCTATGGCAAACTTGACAAGATTAAGCCAAAGGCCTGATGAAAAGGTTGCTCAATTCATTGCCATATTCAAAAGGGCACGAAACAAATGTAGGGTCATGCTACCTGAGCCTAAATTTGTAAAATTAATTCAAAACGGATTAGAGTTTAAGCTTCGAAAGAAGTTTGATTCAACTGAGTTTCAAGACTTAGTAGAATTAACCTATAAAGTTTCCAGATATGAAACCTTACTTGAAGAATAACAAGATTGAAGCAATGCATCCTATAAGACCTATTATAGGGACTCTAACTTTGAAATTGATGCAGCAGAGATCATAGGAAAAGAACCTATGACCTGTGAAGCATTGATTCAGAAAAATACCACAATTGAACAACAATTTAAAAAGAAAGACCTTCATAGGAAATATTCTTTTGACATAACCAAACCAGATGACATATTTGATCATTTACTTGCAGCACATTTCTTAAAGTTACCTAAGGAAGTTAAGATCCCAACTTTTGAAGAACTTAAAGGAAAACTGTACTGTAAATGGCATAATTCTTGGTCCCACTCAACTAAAAACTATATTGTTTTTCGAGATAGGATCCAAAAACAAATTCAGAAAGGAAGACTGAAATTTCCAACCAAGACTGAAAAGGCCATGGGAATTGACACCAACCCATTTCCAGAGATTGGGGAGGCAGTAGCTAATGTTGGCATACCAGATTTCCAGAATTTCTCTTTGAAGGAATTGGAAGAAGTCAATGTGCAGATGCATGTTGCTGGCCATGCTGCCTTTAAGAAGGACACAAGAAGTTCACCAGCTAGTGGATAAAGCTTTGCAGGCCAAAGGGATGCCTCTAGTGAAGAAACATTGGATGATGACTCCCTCGAAGCAGCTGTAATGTAGAGAATGTGTCCTAGATGCAGATTGAATTACAAATGGTTGTGGGGCCTCCCAGTTGATGGGAAGCAGTACTACAAAGATGTGCAGAGAGACCACAAACCAGCCAATAGTTATAACAGAAGGCCATACCCAACTAGTCTTAGACAACAGTCATCCTTGACTGGGCCACCAAACACCAGGATGTAATCAAAGGGTAAGAGACCTCTGCATGAGATAAGGCCACCCAATTATTACAAAGGTGGGCAACCAGCCTGAAAAATAGCCTGAGTATGGCATAAGGCATAGGACCAGGGCTAATGATTAGCCATTGAAGACTGTTTCAAAGATAGGGACAGCAAGCCCAGTAGCTAGAGCAGTGGGCTCATGGGTCCTTGAGGTTCCAGATTGGTTTGTCATGCAGAACAAACCTAAGATAATGCCTACCCAAAGAAAGACTTTTGAAGATAAGGGGAAGATGATCAAACCCCCTTTGGTGGCTCCAAATAATTGGGTGCTACTCAAAGACCCAAAGACAAAGGAACCAGTTATGATTCCTGTGATCTCCGGGTCCCAAATGAGGAAGATCCAATGAAGTTACACCCAGTATCAAAGGGATTTGAAAGAGAAATAAGAGAGTACTTCCTTGGCACAGTTAAAAGGCTAGACAGAAGAAGGAAAAAGTTCAAAGTTGGGTCCTAAGATCAAAAGGAGTGCCGGCAGGGAGTAATTGGCCAAAGTACATGCTGAATTAAGAGCCAAGGAGAGATCTAGTCTAGCAGGCCTCCAAAAAGCCTTGATGGACAGTGATGATAAGACAGATAAAGAAATCGAACTAGGCCAAGAAAAGGTATTGGCTGAAGATGAAATGTTCGAAGCTTTCATGGCTGAACAGACCTTCATGGTTAAAAAGCCAACAAAAGTAGACCATAAACAAATTGCTTCAAAGGAACCTACTAGCACTGAGGTACCAGAATGCAGTATAGAGGATGTCTCCCAAGCATCAGAGCAAACCAATATGGAAGGAGAGAAATCACAACTAATGGTACAATTTGGCTCATTCCCTCTAGTGCCAATTAATATGGTTTATGTGTTGCCTCAAGAGTTTTAAGCTGAGGAGGAGAACCAAAAAGGCCAGGAGGATGACCCAATTCCAGTTTCTAATGAGGATTCACAAACCAACATGGTTCAAGATGAATCTGAGGTGGCCAAGCCCATGGACGGATTTGGACTCTTTGGTTCAGACTTAGAACCGTGACTACGAAATCGAGTCCGAGCTGTAGCGAGGTCCCCCGCGGGCTTGTTACAGTGAGCATTAACCTCTCATACCCCTTCGAATACCCTGCAATATCCATGACCCAACATGTTAAGCCTCTGTACATCAAGGCTTACTTCAATGGGATACAAATGAACAGAGTGCTAGTGGACAATGAGGCAGCAGTGAACTTGCTTCCAAGATCTTCGTTGAAGAAGTTGGCGAAAAAAATCCTAGGTTGATCCCAACAAGCACAACCATTGCTGGTTTTGCTGGGGATAAGCAGATGGCTCAAGACATTCTGCCTATCAACCTGAGTGTGGGAACCAGAGACTGCATGACAGCATTTTTTTGTTATAAATAGCAATGCCAAGTATAATGCTTTGCTTAGCAGGGATTGGATCCACACAAATAAATGTGTGCCTTCCTCTCTACATTAGAAGATAATGATAACAACATGCAATAGGAAAACAGAGGAGATCAATGCAGTTTCACAGCCCTTTATTGCTTGTGCAGATTTTGCAGTGGCCAAGCTATACACTGAAGGGGTAGTACCACTTAGTGTGCTGAGGACATCTGATGTAACAGCTGAAGTGACGACTGATGAGGAAGTAGCACACCTGAAGCATCTAGTACAGGAAAGTGTTCATAAGGAGTTCATCATTAAATATGCCAATGATGCCTGGTTGTAGGCAAAAGGATCAAGACCAGGAAGCCAGACCATTGGCTTTAATCAAATTTTCAGAATTGGACATAGAGTCAATAGTCCAGAAAGTGTAAGGAAAAGAGAGAGAAGCCATGATGATTGGCTGCAGTTAGGAGCAACAAAAGGCCAGACTATTGGCTCTTAGTAAGTACTGTGTATTGGACATTGAAATAAAAGTCCAAGAAATACAGAAAGAAGAGGCTTTGTTGATAGATTTTGTCAATGAAGAGGAGAGTAGGGATGTTAAACTAGGAAGAATAGAAGCAGAACAAAATGAAAGGGTTGCTTCGAAGGTAGAAGAAGTCAAAGAAGAAGCATCAGTGAGTGCCCAAGTGTAAGATCCCTTGGAAGAAGTCAACTTATGGGAAGGTTCAGCGAAATAACCTACCTATATCAGTGCCTGATTAGATCTTGGTGACAGGGACCAGTTGTTGGTTGTGTTGAAACAGTATAAAGATTGTTTTTCTTGGTCTTATAATGAATTGCCTGGGTTAGATAGGTCATTAGTGGAACATACGCTCCCAATGAAGCCTAATTTCAAGCCACACAAGCAAAAGCCAAGACGGATGAGCCCTGAAGTGGTTTAAAAGGTGAAAGAGGAGATTGTTAGGCTCTTTAAAGCAGGCTTCATCAGAACAGCTAGGTATATTGAATGGTTGTTCTAGACCGCCCGGAACTCCGCTCCGCGCGCGAGGGCGCGAATTGTAGTTCTAGCTACTATAGTTCGGACTCATGTCACGGTTCTGAATCTAATTTCACAAAGTGCAATGTGAGACTGATAAATCACTAAAGAGTCCAAATCCGACAAATCGTTTTGGAAAATCGATTTTAATCAAAAAGCGCCAAACATGGACTACTTTGCCAAATTTCAGAGTCGCCACCTAAATATTTTATTTTGGGAAAATTTAGGAAACCCTGACTCGTGCCTAAGGCCACGTGTCCATCATCACCAAAATTGCCTTGACTCGGGAACTTGGGTACGAGAGGAGAAGGTCATGCAATGAACACCCCCGCTCGCCCGATCAAAGGATCGGCCTTTACTAACATGATATGTTGTTTTTGAAAACACATGTGTTCTTATTCCAGTTTGTTAGCTAGCTTACTATGTGATGCGCACATCATACAAGTATAGACTAAATCACTCGATTTGGAACAAAACATCTTATGTTTGTTTTTGAAAATGGTTTGAAGTTGCTACT